GGTTACTATTCCCTGGGAACTGGAGCCTCAACTTTCCTTCTTCCCTGGTCACCACATCAGTGCACAGAGGAGTCAGCTCTACCAGGAATCCTGTTTCATTCCCCTGCACCCTATTTCTAGTGCTACATCCTCATCCAACAGTTGCCTATCTCTCCTTAAGCCCACTTCTAGACTCTTAGACCTCACGAAGTCATCACTGAATATATTTCCTCCCTATTCAAAACATGGAGACATTGCCCAGATGCAGCCCTCCTTCATACCTAGCCTTACCTCACATTTCTCCTGATATTCTTTCTGCTCATCTAATCTGGAATGCTTCTCATACTGCAAACTCGTCCCAAGTTTTCTCATTTCTAACTCTTTGCTTTACATTATCACCTCCATTTCAACTATAAGCTTTACACTATGTCTTTAAATGGTATCTCTATACTTCAATACTAAAAGTGTCAACCCCTCCTAAAATACCCCACATCTTTAAAATAAAAATGCAATACAATAAAATAAAAAGCATTTATAATCCTTTCAGCTAGAATTTCTCTCTCTCTCTCCTCTAAAGATTCAAAAGCATTTGTGCAAATTACCCCATTAAAGTTGAAACCCCCCACAGCAAAAGTAGATGTGACACATCGTTTTGTTCTCAACTGTATCATGCATGATATTTGCATGAGATATTCATTCAACAAACATTTATTGAAGGATTAAATGACCTTACAAACCAAAATTCTTATTTAATGAAGTACAGCTCCTGTCAATTACCTGACCTTTAGGAGAAGCAGTCAAAATACAATAAAAATAGATAAACTTCATAAACACAGCTACTTAGAAGAAATCAGCTCAATCTCCTATGCTTTTTATTACTTACAGTACAACCATGCCAGAATGATATTCAAACACTATTATGCTCCAAACACTATTCTGCAACTAAGAAAAATATAACATATTTTTGAACTACAAATACATTTTGAAGAAAGGAAGGGACTGGCTCATTTCATACTAAAATGACAAGTGGAAGGTTTTGTATAAGTAAACCTTTATAAAATGTCCTGCATCTTTCCACCATGCCAGGTTATAGCTTCTAGAGGTGATAAACTATCCACAATCACTAAGGAAACTTCTTAATCTAGAGGAAATTGAATAAAAGAGTGTTCGTTCCAAAGCATTCTGTTTTGTCTGGAAGATACTCTCATGGCTGGTCAGGAAGGTCGAGAAGTGGCCAGATGAATTATAATGTGAAAGATACACTGCCCCAATTAGGGAAAAATAAAGTCTTCATTCCTGGAATGATAAAGAGAGTCACTGTTTCTCTAAAAGAAAGAGGGATGTAATCTCTCAGGCATAATATGCATAAGAGATCCTTTCAAAATGGAAAAACACATGGAGAATCATTTAGAAAACCAGATCTGCTCTAACCCAAATACCTTGATAAATTTCACAGACCAAACTTTAAGCCTGGCTATAGAACAGAATCATCACAGATTAAGAAAGAAAAAAATGTTTTTTTCCTAGTCAGCACAGGTAGATGTGAGATACTTTGGGTGATCAATACGTAGTCATCCTTCAAGGTTTAACATTTTAGAGAAAAGTGTATCATGAGGATTGACACTCAATATTTAAATTTGCCATCAGTTACAAGACTGGGCTTATGTTACATTTCTCTTACTATGTTATCTACCTGGTTTCATTTGATCTAGTTGATTATTTCTTCCTTAATCTAGCAAAGCTCTAAAAAAAAAAGTCATATAGCTTCCATTCTATGCAAAGTTAGGATTATGGAGAAACAGCAAATCACCTAAAACACTTTCTAAAATAAGACTCCTAGGCCAGGCAGGCCCGGTGGCTTACGCCTATAATCACAGAACTTTGGGAGGCCAAGGTGAGAAGATTGCCTGAGCCTGCAGGTTTGGGACCAGCCTGGGCAACTTGGCAAGACCTCACCTCCACAATAAATCAAAAAATTAGCTGGGCATGGTAGTACATGCCTGTAGTTCCTGCTACTTGGAGGGCTGAGACAGAAAGATCGTCTGAGTCCAGCAGGTCAAGGCTGTAGTGGCTGGGAGCATGCCACTGCCCTCAGCCTAGGTGACAGAGTGAAACACCAATTCAAAAATAAAATAAAATAAAATAAGACTCCTGTATTTGTTCATTAAATAGCAAAAAAATACTCATAGGTTTTCTGGACTTTTTTTTTTTTTGCTTTTTTTAAACTTAGAGTTATTTGCTTTTATTTCTATGTTCTACTAGCCATCCTGACTGAATAAGTATCTAAAAAAAAAATCATATCATCCATGGCTTCCAATTTCACTCACTAAAATGAACAGTAGGACACAGCTACAAAACTTTAATTAAGCAGAGTCCCAAGAACCCTGTGGATAAACTTCTCAGGTTTACTGTGATTTGTTCTAGAAAGAGAACCCCAAGGGAGGTGGACAGCTTACCAGAGAATCTGAATAAAGGGGGAAAGCAGTATCTGAGACAGAAAGAAGCTAAAAAGAGCTTTTCTTCCAGTGACTTTTACTACTCGCAATAAAAAGTTAATTCAGTTAACTTTAACATATTATTGGGACTCAAAAACATATTATTGGGACTCTCAGCCAGTAATTTAGTCACTACCAAAAATTAATATTAGAATAAAGGTTTTACTGAGTTATATCTTCCAATATTTTAACAAACACCCAATTCACAATCTGATTTGAAAAGGCAGAAAATACACCTAAGTGGAGCTCATGAACATAAGGACCAATCCAAAACAAACAAATACTGCTATTTCAAAGTTAACAGTAGAATTTTATTATATTGTTCAATCACAGAGAATAAACTTTTTTAAAAATCACTTAGTATATCCATTAGGATTTATACTCAAACTAATATTGGTGATTAAACTTGAAGACTAGGACCAGCAGTTATGTTATTGTATTGAGAAGCAAGAGACACAAGTAAAATAAGTAAGATTGCAGGAACACAGTCAGAGAAATCAAGATAATGAAAATACTTACTTTGACATGGCTTTGGGCTCCAAGGTTGTAGATTTCTGTAGGTTTTACTTCATTAATAATCTTTACAAGGCAGGTACTGTCAGTGAGATCACCATAGTGCAATTTCATGTCTTCAGGAGTCAAAAACATACCATTAGATAGAAAAAACAACATAAGCTCAATTTTTTTAAAAGATATACATTGAAATGCATATTTCAAAAGCCTGAAAATCACAGTCAAAATGGAAATGTTTTATCTGATGGTTCTAGAATAGCAGAGTATAACTATCATCTTTAAATAACCTAAACATTAGAAAGATATTTACATATGTTACCTATGCTTGTAAAGGATTTTGTAATTGTAAACTCAGATGAACTTTAAAAAATAATAATAGCATGACAGTTTATACAATTGAAATATCTTAGGCCTCCAGGTGATTGCAAGATGTGTTATATAAGAGTGAGATTCAGACAACATAAAAAACCTTCATACTGACAACGGTGAAGATAGCTGTGTATTACTTCAAAAACTTTTCTAGCAATTTTTAAGTACCATAACATCAATCTTTAAACCATCCATGAAATGCTAATGTAGTGATATAATTGATTAAAGGCTAACTAGCCTATTCCAACTCCTAAATCTAAGTAGTTCCTTAAACTGACTTCATTAGTATAAGAATTTGACACGTGTGGATGGGTGGTTTGCCAATTTAATTTTTTCATTATTTTTACATAATACTGATCTATATTTAGATCTAATGATAGTACCAGTCTGCACTTTGCACAAAGACAATAATAATTTTCAAGGACAATGCACTGAGTAACCTAAACATTAAGGTAGAAAGCCTTTTCTGTGGACAACTAGGTCATCTTCCTGATGATATCACAACTTATACAAGTAACATTCAAATATTCAGGAGCTGAGATGTAAATACAAAATCACAGATGGTTTACAAGCTGACTATAGTGTCCTTGCTATTTGAAAAAACTGGCCATGTAATGCAAACTGAACTTGGAGTTTAAAAGCCCTATGTCCCAATCCTGGCTCTGCCTTCTTCATGGTATGTAACCTGGATAAAGTGATAACCTTTCTGTCTCCATTTCCTCATCTATAAAATAAACTCTCTAACAACCTCATGAGTTACTATAAATATCAAATGAGAAAACATGGTGCTTATGCTATGTAAACTATACAGCTACATACCCACACATTTATTAATAAAATAACAAAACAATTGCAAATACTGACAATGAAATATAGTTTTGATTCTTCTCTCTTTTTGACCTGTCTTCACAAATTACTTGAAAAATTAATTAAATGTACAGATTGTTTCACTTGATTAAATTTGAGCAAACGTAGAAAGCAAAGGAGTGCTGTCAGTATAGAACTGCTGTTACTTGAGGGGAGATAGGGACATCGGCAGAGGGGTGATCAAAGGCATGCATGCTTCCCCTTGGTTATGGTCTGTCTGAGACACCTACCCTATATCCTTCTAACAGCCAAACCAAGATGATATTATGACCAAGGGCAACAAGCAACAAAGGTTTTCATACTCCCTGCAGTAATTCATGACTAAATAACTGTGACTTGATGGGCTTTGAGAAAAATGACATTTGAAAATAACTTATCTGAAGATATGAAGTTATAGAAAGAGGTTTTTGGGGGCAAAAAACACTTACTTCCTTCAATATGAGCCTGAGGATTCTTATACAGATGTTCAATTCGACCCGTATTAATGAACTGGATCTCCGTACAATTCCATGGACCTGAGTGTGGAAAGATAAAAGTAAATTATAAATGTGCAGTTTGGATTAATAATCACTCAGAACTTCTTTAACTAATGTTTAGTTTTATGAAAAAAAATAAATATTATTTTAAATTATTAGACATAGTTCTACTGCTTACTTTCTCCCTAACCACTACCCACCAGCATCCTACCACCAACTCTCTCCAGTGATTTTACTGCCAATCTCAACAAAAGTAATTAGATAATCATGTGCCTTCTTGCTTACTTGTAGATACTCAAATGTCTCCTTTTCCAAACACACACACACTTACAGCATAACTGCTGACAAAAATATCTCTTCCATTTGAAACTGAAGACAGACCATAGAAGGCCATATCAGTAAAACAGTTTTATGGCTGTTTAACATAGAACATGAGGCCATCACGTTTTCCCAGTGTCCTTAGAGCTAGTGAATTTTACATCTATTATGTATATTCCTGGAACCACAAATATAATGAATTAGCAATTGCTATTATGCAGCTAAATGGAAGAGTCAGAAAGTTAAATGGCATGGATTAAAGATAAGATTGATGTACTACTTGATTTAAGACATGTAGAAAACTCAAATGAAGATTTTTTTTTTTTAATTTTTATCTTGACTTAACCATAGTGTGAAGGGGGAAAAAGTTGTTGGAACAGGAATGCATACCTGCCTGATATTTAAGAAAAGACTATTTGTGTCTAACACATAAGAGAAATTGTTCCAGACCTGGCCCTACTTCCTTTTTGTGTCAAGATTGCTCCCTTTGTGCTGCCAATGCTAACACGCGCTTATGTCACCAGCTGCCCAAGATCCAGTTCTACTGGTGGCAGTTTTAATCCTTGACTTATTTTAGAAGTGTTCCTTCTAATGTTGGATAGGTTCATTTGCAGCTGAATACACTTCTATATTTTAACTCAATCGTTTTCTGTCTATTTCAAACCAAAATTAATCCTTGGCATGACTCAAATATTCCAAATGCAAGGGGAAATTATAGGAACATAAGACTTTCTTTCAAATAGAAAGAAATGTCATCGTCATTTTATATGGCATACATGAGAAACTGACTTCTGCAAAGGATACAACACACCCACAATTAATAATTCAGTTAGTTAGTTGCTTTAGCCAAAGAGAAAAGCACTCATCAACACTATTTTCCAAAAGAACGAAACCCAAGAAGTATTGGTATATATGAAATTATTTTAAGAAGGGAACATCGCAAATTTGGTTGACATTTTAAGAGACAAACATTAAAATCTTGGAAACACAGAGATCTGACTATACATATCCATTTTTAAATTTAGAAGTAGTGAAAAACAACACTAATAGTAAGCTTAGAATTTGTCCCCCTCCACGATCTCTAATTTTTCAAGCTGTTAATTAATTGAAAAGTTGAACTGTTCTACAAACTTAATTTTGTTTAACAAAAGCTATTTCACATATATACTTACACCTAGTAGTAAACTGGTGTTTACTACCAAAGTTATTTCTGAAATATGAATTCCTCGGGTGTGTTTTATTTCATTGAACAAAAAAGAATTTCTGTGTTCTAAAAACAGATCACTTAACTTTGACAATAAAAATAATAATACTATAATTTAGGCTACCTTCTCTTGATTGTTGGGTTCTGGGGAAGTTACATATTCCAAAAGCCCAAAAGAGAGAGAAGTGCCATACACATATAAATTACACATAAACATAAAAAAAAGGCTTTGACAAAAATATTAAATGATCTTGATTAACTCAGTGTGAAAAGCAGACACCTACACAAAATCACAAGCAATGAGTAACACAGGTCCCTACTATCACACTTAAAATCAAAAGCATTAAGCACTAATTGCTTTTTCTAAAAATTTTGTTCAAAAGTATTTTAAATTCTCCTAACTTTCAACTTTTGATATGTGTATGCTTTTGATATGTGCCAAATGCTTAATCCATGACAGCAGGTATTATTCTAAGAACTAATGAAAGCTGAGTCTGTCACTTCTGAGACATGTGAAATATAACTTTAAGACAAGCCAAAATGTGTGCAAACTGCATGATCTAGTTAAGAATTTGAGATTAGCAGCTTTCTTTTTACAGAGGGATGTAAGTAGGACTTTTTTGTTTGTTTTTATAAGGATTTTGGAAGAAAAAAAGATGAGGGGTTAGGAAACCTAACTGAAAAGATAAATGAGCTGAATTTGACTTTACAGAAACTTAATCAAAATTATTATTAAATTATAGTAGTTCAAAAACAAAGTATAATTCTGAAAAACTCAGGCCTTAAAATACATGGAAGTGGGGTTTTTGACAAACATGCCCCATTTTCCTGAAAAGGAAAATTTTAGGTTCTCTCAATGTCAAAACAAATTGGTTTTACATAAAAATCTAGAGTCAGATTAGGCACTATAACAGAAAAATGCTTTACTAGCTTATCATAATCCAAAAATGGAAAATTATTACTACTGGATTTCAAATTCCTTAGCGTCTAGACTTACCTTGGAGGCAAGAATGCCTCCCAGGGAGGGTTAATGCCACTAACCTTTTGAAAAGTATGGATTACCTAGGTAATATCAATAGCTAACATTTACACAGCAGTGACCATGTACCACTGTTCTTTGTGTCTATTAAATCACTTAATCTTCACAATAACCTTACTATTATTGTTCCCATTCTACTGATGAGGACAGTGCCTGAGATAACATAGCCAGCAAGTGGTAGTGTTAAAAGACAGAGATGGACCGGGCTCGGTGGCTCAGCCTGTAATCCTGTGCCTTTGGGAGGCTGAGGTGAGTGGATTGCCTGAGCCCGCAGGTTCGAGACCTGCCTGGGCAACTTGGCGAGACCTCATCTCTACAATAAATCAAAAACTAGCGGGGCATGGTAGCGCACGCCTGTAGGTCCAGCTACTTGGAAGGCTGAAGTGGAAGGATCGCCGGAGCCCAGCAGGTCGAGGCTGCGGTGGCCGGGAGTGGCCACTGCACTCCAGTCTGGGTGACAGAGTGAGACTTCAACTGAAAAAAAAGAAAAAGAGAAATAGAAACTGCAGTAACTGATTATGTTGACATTAAGAATAATATTGCAAGCCTGGCTCGGTGGCTCAGCCTGTAATCCCGCGCCTTTGGGAGGCTGAGGTGAGTGGATTGCCTGAGCCCGCGGGTTCGAGACCCATCTGGGCAACTTGGCAAGACCTCATCTCTACAATAAATCAAAAATTAGCTAGGTGTGGTAGTGCGTGCCTGTAATTCCGGCTACTCGGAAGGCTGAGGTGGAAGGATCACCGCAGCCCAGTGGGTTGAGGCTGCGGTGGCAGGGAGTGGCCACTGCACTCCAGTCTGGGCGACAGAGTGAAACTAAAAAAAAAAAAAGATAGAGATGGTCAAATCTGCCAACACTCAGTGTAGTTTCAGAATGAAATCTATAAAAAGTTTTGCCATTTTTCAAATCAAAGCATCAAGCCTGGGATAGCAAACGATTCAGAAAAAATATTTCAAGGATTCTCATAAGTCAAGAAAGGAAGTATAGAAACTCCATGTTCTAACAAATAATTTCTCAAAGATAACAATCAAACAATCCTTATATCCCATTTAATTGCTATTGTGATACTTCATGTCAGAGCTAGTGGTTATACTTCCTTTACAGGACAGAAAACCCACAATTTACCTATTCTTTATCTTAAATTCTGATATGCTATAGTTGTTATTTAATATAGATTTTTCATATAGTCACAGACTGTAGTTTTAAATGGTTCCACTATCTTTTATTTCTCTGATTTTCCTCCGCACTCTGTGCAAAATGGACATGAAAGTATGATGCTGGCTTATCTGCTTACACTGGTGCTAGGAAGGCCCTTGAAACTAGAATGTGCTTTCCCAAAAAGTTTCACTTCTGTCAATTTTCCCCTTTCCCTTATGACAGGAAGGAATGTGCACAGCTCCAGCATCCTAGGCAACAGAACATGCCTGCTGTTCAGTAATACTAATTAATGATCCAATGAAGGAGCTTTCTATACGATCTGTGTCCACCGCCTTGTCCACATTAGACCCTGAATCACTCTGCCACTCCTGTATCAATAGGCCCCTTGAGTCCCACAGAGCTCTGCTGGTCCTATCTTATCTAATCTTCATGACAATCTCAGAAGATAGCTGTGCTTATCATCCCCATGTACAGAGGAGGAAACTAAGTCTAAGAGAGATCCAATGACTTGCCCAAGTCACAAAGCCAGTAAGGGGCAGAGAAGGTATAAGACACAGGTTGTCCAGTTCTGAACCCAAATGTTCCTTGTTCACCCCCTCTTTGCTTTGTACTGGTCAACAGGATACAAAGGAAAACAATTCTTGGCACTGCAGCAATGTATAGAATTAAGCATATAGAGTATCTAAAAGGTGATTTTTCCACAAAATCCAACAATTCCTAGTTTTCTTCATTGTGAGATGGTATCTCTAAGGACTCAATAAATAATGAATGAACATTAGATCTATACTCATTAGGCTTTCAATGTCTATCCTGAGCAAAATTCAAGAAACAAGCAACATTAAAAACTTACCATTTTAGGCCAATTATGTTGGCTCTAGAATATAATCCCAGCACTTTGGAAGGCCGAGGGAGGAGGACTGCTTGAGTCCAGGAGTTTGAGACCAGCCTGGGCAACATAGCAAGAACCCATCCCTAACCAAAAAAATAAATAAATAAAAAAATTAGGTGGGCATGGTGGCACGCACCTGTAGTCCCAGTTACTCAGGAAGCTAAGGTGCAAGGACTGTGCCACTGTACTCCAGCCTGGATGACAAAATGAGACCCTGATTCAAAAACACAAAAACAAAAAAAATTCTACCACTATAAGCCTTTAAATTAAGTCTCTTCTCAATGAGATAACTGGAGCAAGGATAAAGCAATCCTTCACTTTTCACTTTAAAGCGTTCATTCAGAGCATGATCAGATGTGCAGATTTCAGTGGCCACGTCCGATGCCAGCAACTTGGCTCCAGGAATTGAATGCATGTAAGGTCATCCAAGGTAATTAACCATAACTACTCAGTCTGTAAATATATGCCATTCCTTTTCAAGTCATCGCAAGTGTCTGCTTTTGCTTCAAGGTTAGACAAGCGTTTTGTAATTTTTCTTCTTTTTACTAGAGAAAAAGTAAACAAGGGTGCCTGTATTATGCTGCACTAATTCTACACACAGGCTTTGTTTATGCTGGTGCTGCCCCATCACCATCACCCTACCAACCTGGTCCTGCTCAATTCTCTCTGACTGACTGCTGTTTTTCCATATATACCATGCTTCACAGCTTCATAATGAAAAGCTTACTTTGCCATTACTAGGCAATCAAAGTGTGCCTCTTTCTTTTCTAGGAAGAACAACTCAGTCTCAGCATTAAACCCCTTCTTCACAGTGCTTATTTGTTCCTGGCTGGCATTTTGCTTCCCCAAAGTATATTGCTTCCAGTTATTCCTGACCTTGGTGACATACTTTATACAAAAGACTATACTCAAAATAATATGATAGCTTAGAGAAGCAAGGCCTCATAAATTTAAAATATCTTAAGGTACCTTGTTCACTTTCATCATATGAGTAAATCAGTCACCTGATCTTATTGGAGCCTTCAGTTGCAGTTCTCTATCTGTAGTACCCAGGCAAGGAGTATTAGAAAGGACAATTCCTCTGGACCAGCCTTCTGAGTCTTACCAGGGCCTCCCAGTGATTCTGATGTACCTTAAAGGTGGAAAACCTGCTGAGTTAGAAGTCTGTACTCATCCAAATTGCTGATGCTCACCCTCTAGGTTCACAAGTGAAAAGTTGTATCCCTCTCTCATCCTACTTCATGTAATCTATTAACCCTGCTCATATCCATGGTCTTGAGTAACCACGGGACTATAGTTAGTAATTCTGGAAATTTCCCAAAGCAACCAATTTAAAAAATGACTCTAGCATTCACTTTTATCTAAGCATAAAAAGATAAAGCCTACACCAATATCGGATTCCTCTTAATGGCTTATTCTCCAATTATATCAATATCTTAAAATTGAGGATAACAGCCTAGTAAAACTGAATACAGTAAGAATAAACACACTTTCATTCTCACAATGTGGAGATAGCTCACATGTCCCCTGTACTATGACGAGGATTCACTTCTGCCCATACTTTGTGACTCTATCACATTTCCTTCTATCAGTTTACAGAACTCATTCCTATACCTGTCTACTTGTCAATCATTGTTTCTGTGCTAAGTTCCTCCCATTAACTGTGATTTGCCAAGTAGGCCTTCATTGGCTTTTTGTATCAGAATCAAGTCTGCTCTTATAATTTTAAACATGAAAACACTTGAGGTTCCCCAGGCAGTCCTGGGTTCTCATTATATCTACTTCCAAATCTCTCATCCCACCTGTCTTCTGAAATCTACTAGCTCCTTAATGAAACACACCAAAATAGAGATTTGTTTCTCCATGCATTTCTTCTCCCTAGGCTCTTTCAGTAACACTAACCACACCACCTGCCTAAGAATGGTTAACATCTACACATACAAACTAGCCCTATCACTGGTCCACCCACTATCATGGCTGTGCTCCCTCATCCTCTGGACTAGATACAGACACTGCCTGTTGCCATCACCCTCATCTCCACTCTCAATCCATGTCCCACTAGAAGTGGATCTCAACACTCACACAGCTTGAACATCCCTCCTGACATGCCACCTTGCTCTTCACAACTCAGTGACTACTGCTCAGCTAGCTTCTTTACTTTGTTCACTTGATACACAACATATCACTAACCCCTCTCTACCCACCAAACATCTCTCAGCTGGTCTCAAACATCTGAAATACAGTACAGATATCTCTCTGCCAAATCTTTCCTTTTAATATTTATTAAGGCATTAGGTTAATCTAGCCTAAAGACCAAGCCTTCCCTAAAACTAACTCTTTGTACTACATATAACCTACCCTAAAACTCTATGTTCTATAGAATATGTATTTCTCTCTTGATTACTAATAACAACATATGCATATGGACATATGTGTACATGTATCTTTTCGTAATTACATGTCTTATTTTAACATAGCATTAGCTATTAGATATGTGCTAAACATATCTGCTACTACTTCTTAAAGTCTAAAAGTCAAGTTCGCAGAAAAGATTATTGCGTTAAAAGAAAATTAACTTCCTTTCCTTCAAATGTTGTTGGCATTTAAGTGCCAAATTCCTTGCTGTCTTTCCATTTGCTCCAACTGTACATTTTTAAAACAATGTATGTACAATTAAACAGACAATCCAAAATTATTAATATAAACATTCACAAAGCAGGTCAGAGCATATGGGTCACTGTGACGGTATTTGTCCTTTGTATAGCATGAATTTCTATATGTGTATATAGAGGGTGCCAAAAATGTGTACACCCATTTTAAGAAAGAAAAAAGTTGTATTAAAACTGTAGTATTTAAAATGTACTGATAACAAAAAATGAATACAAGTGACGTTTGACTTCTGCAATTACAAGAGGTGCTCAAAGTGGTTACCATCAGCATCCAGAGACTTCTGATTAAGATGAACATCTCTTGAAATGTGTATGCATTTTTTGCCACCCCAGTATATGTGAAAAATGTTCTTTAAAAAATTAAGGTGTTCATACTGAGCTAAATCAAAATTAATATACAAGACTGCCTGTAAGGAAAAGGGACGTTGAAGCTGACAACAGCAGCAGCAGCAGCAGCACACACCTAAAAGTTTCAGCCATAAAATATATGGCTGCCTATTAAAACACAAAACCTCCAGATGTAAATTTTGCATTCACACTAGCCAAAGATCAGCTTGGTTTTTATTGCTCTGTGCAATTTCTGAAGTGTGTGGAACTTTTTTAGGTAACAAAAGACATCAACAATTAAACTTAATTATGTTCCTGCACAGGTTACAGCTCTATGGGAAAATGTGGGAAGCATACAGAGCAGTTCAACAACAAGATGCAGGATAACCACCAGAGCTCACCAGTAGATAACAGCACAATGAGCTGGCAGGATCATAAGCCAGGAGGTACATTCTTCCCTGGGTTCTGATTTGTTATCAGAGTTCCAGTGGAAAAAACACACAGGAGGACAGCAGCAAAGGAAGTGCTGGCCACTGTGTCCTAGTGATTCCAGCAGCTTGTGCCTGCTTGCCCACTGAGTCACCCACCTCATAGCCTTTCTCCAGCAGGAATTCAGCCAGGTACGAACCATCCTGGGAAGACAGAAAAAGTAGAAAACGTCAGTCCTATCATGGCTGGTTTAGAAAAATGGCCTAAACTAAGAGTTTTGAGAAAAGTATTTAAAAGACTATGTGAACTTAAATTAAGATTATAGCAATGAAAAATAAGAATAACACCAATAATGCTGATAGACACCCATGGCATTCCAATATACACAAAGCATGTTCACTAACAGTATTTCATTTGAGCTCCACAGAAGAAGAAACTGAAATCCAGAAATAATATGGAGCAGCAGAAAGAACACTGGAGCTCCAGTATCAGTGTAGATTTGGGCCTAGCTTTTGAAACATGCAAAATATGTGGGCAAAGCAAAAGGCCTGGGTGCTATAGGAACATAAAACAGAAATATTCCTAATTCTGGAAGTTGTAAAAATGAAATTGGAAAGAGATGGGAACTAGGAGGCTTGGGGACAGGGAAGGGTGAGAGTGAGGAGGAGGTGCTAGCATTACTGAAAAAGAGAAGGCCAGGGGACCGTAGAGGAAGGCAGGGGTGTTCTTCCAGGCACTGGCAGGAGCTGGCTCCTAACCCAAGGGTTCAGGAAAGTCACCGAAGGCTTTAAAGGGCTTAAATGGGGGGGTATGGTGTGATGATCAAATTTATACTATTATCACTGCATATGCATGCACATACACATACAAAATTTCTTAAAAAGAAGGTACTCATTTTTTATTTTTTAAAAAGTACTTCATTTGTAGTAATCTTAAATCATGTAGTTAATGCCTACCTTAAAATGAAGGTATCTGAAATCTAAAATTGACAGGTGGGGCCTTATCAAACTTAAAAGTTTTTATACAGTAAAAGAAATCACCAAGAGAATAAAGACAGAACCCACAGAATGGGGGAAAAACTGTAAGCTATGCATCTGGCAAATGCCTAACATCCAGAATCTACAAGGAACTCAAACTGACAGGAAAAAAACAAACACCATCATTAAAAAGTGGTCAAAAGACATGAGCAGACTTTCCAAAGGAAGACATTCAAGCAGCCAATAAACATATGAAAAAATGCTTAGCCTCATTAATCATCAGAGAAATGCAAATCAAAACTACAATGAGATACCACCTCAGGCAATCAGGATGACTATCATTAAGGATTCAAAAAACAACAATTGTTGTTGGGGGGGAGTGGGAATGCTTCTACACTGTTAGTGGGAATATAAGCTATTTCAGTCTTTGTGGAAAGCAGTATGGCATTTTCTTAAAGAACTAAAACTTGAGCTACCATACAATCCAGCAATTCCACTTCGGAGAATATACCCAGGGAATATAAATTGCTCTACCAAAAAGACACCTGCACAAGTATGTTCACTGTAGCACTATTCACAATAGCAAAAATATGGAACCAACCCAGATGCCAATGGACACTGTGTGGATACAGACTATGTGGTATATATACATGATAGACTACAACTCAGCCATAAAGAATAAAATCATGTCCTTTGTGGCAACATGGATGCAGCTGAAGACCATAATTCTAAATGAAGTATTACAGAAACAAAAAACTGAATATTCGTGTTCTCACTTATAAGTAGGCCCTAAACATTAAGTATGCAAGCACAGAGGTGGGAACAATAGGCACCACCCCCTGCTCAAAGAGGGAAGGAAGGAGGAAGGAGAAGAGGAACACAACAACCCACTGGGCACCAAGTGAACTGCCAGGAGAGCTCGCACATAACTCGCCTGCACACAATTTACTTATGTAGCAAATTCTCACATGTATCCCACAACTAATAAATAAATAGAAATGAGGGTTCTTAACTGGTTTTTAACAATTCTTTTAAGATATTCTGGGTGGGGTCTTTATTTAAACTAAAATATTTTATTGTCACTTTTAGAGAAAGAAAAGACATTTAAACTATTAAGAGGTCAAAAGTTGAGAAATCACCATTCAAGAGGTACTATAGTCACGAGCCTCTCCCAGAAAATGAATTGAGTAGACATTTTGCAGTCATTCATGTAATTGCTCATCTACGTTCAGCCCAAGTGGGGGAACCCCTCTATCTTATCCAGACTTAAAAATGGGAGGCACTACCAGAAATTTGTGTCCTCAAAATGAGTTGAGGATGTTTGGGTTTTCTGCAGTTTTTCTATTTTAATAAGCTTAAAATATCCCTTTGAGCTTCAAAAGTTTCTACTTTGTATTCCAGAAAAAAGAAATGAAGCAAGCCTTATTATTATCATTACTTAACTGAAAGCTGGAATTGGAGACACCCTATGGGTCCTGGAAATGACAGGTTGCCAAGCCAGTGTTTACTACATTAATGCAGAAGTCATACATAAATTCAGGCAGAATGGCAAGACAAGGCATACAAGGGACACATTCTGTGGTTCATTAAACCTCCAGCAGATTTTATTCAACTTCTTGACATAAATATTCTGGTTTATAGATTCATGTGGAGAAGAAGATAAATTTTTTGGCATATTCCTTTTCATCACATTCATATAATTTTCATGGTTTTTACATATCTAATATACAAACTAAATCAGATAATGAGGCTGACCAATTCAGACCAGGACAAACCAGGTTGGCCTACACAGACACTGGAAACGTTAAAATAATCAGTAGCCCTATAAGTCAACCAATGAGAAAACCACTTAATAGAGAAATATTTGCAATAAGAATACTCATTTGACAGTAGGTTGGAAAACCCTGGAAAGTGTGAAGTTTTCATGTTATTTTGGTGGCAGTGTTTTGAAGCAAGCATTACTATACTTCGTATGTTTTATATTCTCTTGAAATAAAATGTTTAAAATGCTTTGTGTTTAACCATAGTTGCATAAAGTGTTTTTTTACCAAAAAAAAAAAAAAGTGGAGGTGAATGTGCTAGAGTTCCCTGGGGTGGGGAAAGCTGCCATTATTTAGAAAGCTGATGTGAAACAGACCTGGCCAGGATTGAACCCTGTCAATAAGGTCTTGTTCTTCTCACCCAGGCCACTTCTCAAACTTTCCAACCACACTGGAACATTCTGAACCAACAGTGGCACTGGCTTCCTCCTCACTTCCTTGCCAGACCTCTCAGTGATAGGGCCTGGCTGCACAATGAGTGGGAAATGAGCTGAGAGAGGGCTCCTGGTCTCCCCTTTGTCCTCACTCCAGGGCCCTGAGGGACTCCCAGGGAGACACAGTATCTGAGCAGGCAGATGTCTGCCAAGCCAGCAGAGAAGTCATTTCCACCTCCTCCTGAAGCACAGGGCTGACAGAGAATGTTCCAATCAGACTAATGACTGAAATGTCATAGCAACTGAGAACCTGCAGCTAACATTACGTTTTGACACTTGACTCCTCTGAAACCAAGGAATGAAGAGACGAAGTCTCCAACTAGTTCGCTATGAACACAATTAATCTGGTATAAATTCTTGCCTGGGTTCAATCCTTGTTACAGAAAACTTCATTGTTTAAACTTTTTTTTTCTTTTTAATAGAGATAGGGTTTCACTTTGTTATCCAGGTTGGTCCTGAACTCCTGGCTTCAAAATATCCTCCTACCTTGGCCTCCCAAGGTGCTGGGATTACAGTCTTGAACCACTATGCTCATTCAAAAATTAGACAAATAATGTCCCAATGTGACCCTTTTAAACTTTTAAACTTAATTTTATACATGATTATTAAGGGTACCTATTTCATATTAAATGTCATATAGTTTTAAGCAATTGCCATGGCTTTAACATTTTCAAGACATAGAAATATTTTCTATCCTACTCTCACAAGAACTCAGCTAGAAAGGTAAGCAGCTATTTGGCATCTTGGGTAACTGAAGCTAACCAGCTTGCCTAATATCGCACTAGTTACAGATAAAGCCAGGACGAGAACCCAAGTTTTCCACTCTTTTGAACTAGGGAATAACCTCATCCTCATCCTTCTCTACCTGGGACTTACCAACACATTTCAAAACCCAAGAAAATAATAAAAGATCATAAAATATTAATTTTCAAACCAAAGTGATCTAGTCATTTTCCATTACAGGGTGCTTTATGGATTAAACACTGCTTCCAGTTTTAATCAAGTGACCCAAATGCAGAAAAGCCATGTAATTTTAAAATACTCCAGAGCTCAAAGGAGAAAGGACAGCACCTGAGATTTCCCAGGCCTGAGCTTTGAGCACTTGCTCTGCTCATGAAAGAGTTCAGTATTATTAGAAGGTAGACTTGGATTGCCAGTGGTTGTGTGCTTGGCTCTGGGGCAGAAAGGGCAGAAGGGCTAGGTTCTGGTGTTCCCGATACCTATCCTGTTCTACAGAGGGGTTGGGCCCTCACTTTTCATGGATCACTCAGAAATGTTCCAGACAGAGTCACATAAAAATTAACAATTCCAGAAATCAGTAGAATCATATTTTTACTATAGCATGACAACTACCCTAAAATTACATGACAATAAAAAGCTGAAGGAAACATAGAAAGTTTCTCCCTTCTCCTAGTGGCCATAGATGGCTGGAAAAAGACTGACTGACCCTTACATCCACCAGACCCACCTGCCCTCCACCCCCATAGTAAATCAATGTGGTGATACATATGTGCTGGGCAGGTCTCCTTCCTACAGCAGCAAGAGACTAGTATTTCTTTTCTCTCTTCCAGTATGGATGCACATATAGCCCAGGCAGACAAATGAAAAGGGAGCTTTCCTATATGCAATCTGAGAACCTGGCTCTTCTGAGTTTCATGCAAAAACACATCATATATTTCTGCCTCAGCACCCTTTGGCAGCTTCTTTGAACAGGATAAGGTAAGTAGTATTAGGCTAAGGAAGCCATGTCACTAACAAAATGAATCTTTGTTTGGATCATCTCAAGCATCAGGAAAAAGAATACTCCTACAAAAAGAGGAGTTCATTTGCATTGCTTTTAAGCTCTTTAACTCTATGTAATCTAATTATTCTATAAAAAGGCATCTTTCTAGCTAATTGTAATTACAATATCAAGGTAATCAACTGATACCTCCAATATGAAAAATACAAACACCTCAATGTTTAACAGAGG